TCAAGTTCTAGGTTTTCTAGAATAAAGCCACCTCCGGTGGACACAAACCTAAACGGATCTGATTGATCCAGTGTGAACCATGCTGAAGCCGGTGGAATGAGAAAACAGCGGAACAGGCAAACGAGCACACTTTGCATCCGTAGTGGGTTTACCTTCAAAGAAATGCGGACAACAAAGAATGCAAAGCCTTGAGAATCTACATAAAGTGACTTGGAAAAACCGCCGGACCAAATCCAGAAAAACGCCGGAGTTGGAAGTCCGGCGCCGGACCCCGGACTGATGATCTAGGTATAGGTCCCTCATCCCTCCCATCCCAGGTCTCCCGTATCCTTCCTAAAACGAGATGGACTAGCTAGACATCACCAGATCACCCAAAGTCTCCACGTTGCTTGGCTTCGCACCCCTTCACTTGGAAAACCCCGCCGGCGGCTTCGCTTCGCCCTCGTCACCGAGCACCGCGGTCCGACCGCACCGTCCTTCACTGAAGCCGCCGCCTTCGCGGCCGCGAGGTCTACATCGTCTCAGCCCTGGAGCTGCGCCAGGTGACCTTGGCACCGAGCTTCGGGGTGCCCACGGGCAACGCCGTCCAGGCCGACGACGGAGTCGGAGTCCGGGTTGCCGTTGGGGGCGGAGGCAGGTTAGGACAAGTATCGGCCGTATCGGCGTTGGCGTTTTCGTTTGTGTGATGGTGTGATGTGTGATTCGGTTGGAAAGCAGCTCGAAAGACCTCTCAAAGTTGCCACGAGATCATGAGAAGTTCATGAGATCTCAACTCAGGCACCGACCAACAATAGATTCCACCGTAGCAAATTCCCTTTCCGTCTTTTTCATCAAGTCCATGAAAACAGCTCTGAACACGTCCAACTTTGCCAACCCTTCTCTCCCAACGTCCCATATGCGAAACCACTCGATGCTCTCCGGTGCCGATGCGCTCCGGACCAGGTGACGACTGCCTCGTCCTTGCCGCGCGTGGCGACGCTGGGATGTCTCTTTGGCTTGGGCACCGAGAGCCGTTCGGAGGCCAGCTGGAACGGACCGTTCGGAGCGCAGTTCGGAGCGCTGCTGCGTGGTGTGTTTCAAAATGCTGATGTAGTTTGGGGAGATGTGGAGACGGAAACTCTTGGCTATACGCCCACCGAATGTGTATGAATGTGTGTGAAGTAAGTAGCCGCAGCCCTTCAGACATGGATCACTGTATCGATCTTGGCTCGAGAGGCACCTTGGGGCTCAACAGCCCGTGAAGAAGTGCCACCCGCTGTTCATAACGAAAAAAGAAACCAATGCGCCTACTACTTCGGTTGTGCCTGGCCGGCCTTGTCAGCGCCTATGGTGTAGATGTGGACGATGAATGTGCCTCTCCCGGCGAGCCTTGTGCGCTGAGTGTCCTACAGATGCACCGTCGTCCCTCCAACGACAGCAACAGCACGCCGTCAAGCCGAGCGAATGACACCAACAGCAGCGCCGCCAGCGCCAGCGCTGAGGCTGAGAGCGAGGTGACTGATCCCAAGGTCACCCGCTGTGAAGACAGCAGCATGTGTGAAGCCAATCGCACCTGTGTCTTCAAGGAGGATAAGACCTGGAGTCAATGTGTGCCCTTGGATGACAAGACCTTTCAGAATCCGGGTGGTGGTTTCAGATTCAACATTTTTCAACTTAATCTACGTAGTATAGGGGATCATTTATATTGAATCCACTACTACCCACTCACCATGTGTCTTTGTGAGCAAACCCAGGAGTGAATGTCGCTTTTGGGATCGGAAGATGCGCATCGCCGCCATCAAAGCCACCAAAATCCTTTGTGACTCCGTCAAGTGTGAATGGGATCAGGACCTTTGGCAGCACTGCTGTGGATAGGGTCAACGAAAAGAACATTTCAGGCGATCTTCGTGACAATGGACGGCTCGCAGGGCACTTTCACAATCATGTCTGACAGTTCACCCAAGGCGGAACATACTAATTGAAGGGCACCACTTCCAGCTCGGCGCTCTCAGAACCACGTCATTCCATTGCGTCGAACTCGCATCGAACACGCGCGGAGCTGCTTTCGACCGAGGACTGTGCGATGGGAAGCATTTGCGTCAGCAAGCCAGACGGCAGTTGGGCGCAGTGTGTGCCCCTCGCCCAGGCCCGGATGCTGGGGGCCATTCGAAGTTAGAGTTCGCGTTCGTCGAGTTTGGCGCGGCAAAGAAGGCTGGGCGAGGTCCTTTGAAGTGGTCGAGTTTGGGGATACCTGGAGTCGACCCCTTCGTAGAACTACAGTCGTACCTCTTAAGAAAATGGGTCATGAGTCATGCCCCATTTTCTCATAGTGGTCCACAGAAAGATCCGTTTTACAGTGGTTTTCCAATACAATTTTAAAGTGGGGATCCATTGCCCTCTGAGGGCATGTGAATCTCTAGGGTGACCCTATAGGCGGCTATGGTCACTATATGGCTATTATGTCCTTCAACTGTGGAAGAAGACGGTCCAACCTTGCTGAGTTTGGCGTCCCATGGAACCGGTGTGGCATGTTCCATTCTATTTCACCGAGCAGTGAAAGATGACCGGATTTTCATGTTCTTTTTCACTCATCCAGTGGATGAGACAGAAGAGCACACAGACAGAGCACAGACAGAACTTGCCACTCTTGAACTCCTGGTGCCGAGGCCCGGTACCATCCTCCCGAGCCGCTCGTCTCGGGACCCGACCCGCGATGTGCATGACGATGTGCCGCTCGTGTTCCTTTTCCGCGGCGCAGGACGCCTTCGAAAAGCAGTGCGTGATTTGGGAGGACGATTTTCGGCTTGCAGCAATCCGAGCCACTCACTTCAATTGCCCAAACACCAGATGCCGCTTGGAAGAAACAGATAATTTTTGTTGGTCTATCATGAGTGTTGATTCCCTTTGATTCAGACATGTTCCGCTTTGATCCGCCCCCCTAAGCGGTTCTAGAAATCCGGTTTCAGGATCATGAGTTTCTGAAGCTCTATTTTTGGAGTCACTGAATGTTCCTTTTAGGTGAGACCTCTGCAGGGTATCGGTTTCTTGTGGTTATAGGACAGCTTGTACCACATGTTGATCATGCAATCTTTGGCGCAAAGTGCGGCATGCAACTGTCCGCATGATTTGATCATGATTTCCTCCGGTCAAGGGTTTTTAGGAGTGTCACGGTCTACCTCCTGCAGGCCTAGTTGGGTATAGCATGGTCCAGCTTTCTTGGCGGCGCCACCCAAGATCAAAAGAGATCCTCAAGCTGGGATGTTGTTTGAGAGCTGGGAGAGAGTGATGGCCTAGCTTGTGCTTAAGTAGTAGAATGATTCGAACACCGCCTTATTGAGAATCGTGGCTTGCAACATCGGTGATCCCCTTCCGTCGCAATGCGGAAGGTCGTGCCAGTTGTTGGAACCACATCACTTAACCTGACTCAGGTTACTCGCAAGACTGGTGTGTGCATGGTGCACGATGTGCTCTCACCGCAAATGGCGATTGGGGTCAATGCATCGTGTGCCAGGAGAAAAGTGCCCTGGCAGGTGGGCCATTGAGGTCGAAGCGGACCATCCATGGGACCCCCCAAAACACCAACTCAACTGATCGATCGGTACAAAGAAAATGCACCGTCCCATGGATGGTCAGGGTGAGTCCAAGTCAACAACTTATTGGCGTGAAGGGACATTCCACAGATGTCCAAGGTCCCGGCGGATTCCGGGTTTGAGTTTGTTTGTTGTCATCATGCAGACTGTAGACTGTTGATTAAGAACCTCCCCCATTTGGAGGGCAAATAGATCTGCATATGGTGGGCCTTGTTCATCAACATTCCTGTTTCTGACCCATTCGGTTTCATGAGCTACGACCAAACCCCCAAATGGATGGTTTAGCAGGGATTACGACCATTTAGCCGTAGCTCACGAGGCCAGGTTGAAGGTGGGAGGTTGACAGATCAAAGTACACTTGACAGCCACGTTCAGCCCATGTGCACGTACTAAGTAGCAGGTAGCAACCGTGTGGCTTGGGACCCGGCAGTCTTAAGGTCTGGTGGGTGTGGCTCAAAACCGGGCTAGAGCCCGGTTGACCAGAGAAAATGAACTGAATGGACTAGTACTAAGGAGGTCAACCGGGCTATTTGGTTTGGGGATCGGGTTTTTGACCCACAGCCAGGTTGAAAGCCATCGCAAAAGAATCGCCAGGGGCGCGCGCAAACCTACCGTTTTAAATCTGATATCCAGGCCCTTGTAAGTGCCCTTGTATACATTATACTTAATTTTGTCATTGTCCATCCGATAATCACCCAAACTGGGTGGTGCTGGTCAAGCCAAGACGTAATCAAGTTGACTCTTGGCCCAAAAGGGCCCCCCCGCTGCCCTCCATCACCTCCTTCATCTCACGTGGATTGAGGCTTTCAAACCAATTGCTATTCATGGCGACAATCCTTCATCTCCGCCGCTGAGAGCGCGTGCCACCGGAAGTGCTTGTGCCATGTCGAGATTGACCCAAGAGGAAAGAACTTTGTTTGATCCTTGTTCATTTGGTTGTTTGTGGTTCCATGCTCAGGATAAGGGTGGGAGAGAGCCAAGAGATACCTCAACTCCGTCCAGAGTTCCCTTTGTTGTGAGTGGAGTTTACGGCAAGATAACTCTTACCAATCCCGTGACCCCAAAATGGATCGAAAAGAAGGGTGGGCCTTTAGATCGCGAGATTACGACTTAGAAGAAGTCGTTGGTGCGGAAAGAGAGATGAAATACGGAGCAGAACTCCAGAAATGGAGAACGGCCCTTTCAGGTTCGATGAAGCATTTGAGGACGAGAATGCCGAAAACTCCAAAGAGCACTAAGCTACGAAAGCCACTAGCTGGTGGCTCTCTACTTGCAGGAGATGGAGACGCTTCCAACTAAGAGCGGAGTGTTTTGGGTTTAGGGGGTTTTCAAGCGCAAAAACACTCCGCCAACTCGGAGGCAGCACGTCTATATACCGACCTTGCAGGGATTACATTCACGAGATCTGGAGCCCAGAAATCTTGGAGTCTTTGTGGTTTCACACTCCACAAAAAGGACTAATGGGACTGCAATACTGACCTCCCTTCAAAAGTGAATTGCCAGCGTATTTTCCAGTCTCATGAAGTCTTTGGGATTTGTTTTGACCTTTCGAGTGCCATTCGCAGAAGCAGCTCCGCTTGCCGCATCCCCGTAGCCCGGGGTTTGGATGGTCCACGAAAAAAGGAAGGAACATGAAAGAAAAAAGAAGTGCCTTCATTCCGCGCCAAAGAAGAATCCTCCTTTTTCAGCGAACACCGGGTGCTCAACGCTTTTCTTTCGATTCTTCGCTTCGTTTCAGCGTAAACCCGTCTGGTTTCAGCTGCCGTCCGCCGCGCAGGAGAGCGACCTTGACAGACGTCGCGTCGAGTTTCAGACCACCAAGGGCGCGAAGGAGGAAAAAGGATGTCGTGGCACGGAGGGGAAGGCATTCGATCGAATTTCCATGTTTTCCACTGAAATGGTCGTTGTGAACGCCATGAACAAAGGTCTCCGTGGAAGGGTCGAATGATGTTGAACTGAATGCATGCATAACATATATGACACGTATATAGGGGGCCGTTATAGTAGCTAGAAGGTATACTATATAGTAACAAGTGCATCACTACTATAAGCTTCTTGTAGTAATACCATAGTAGCGATGCCCTTTGTTACGTAGTAACTGAGGGCATCATCTCCGATGCATCGGAGACTTCTCAGGTCCGGTACGGGTTCGATGGACCTGTGTGTCACTGCGCCGACCTGCAGCAGGCCATCTTCTTAAGCAGCAACGATGTTCTTTGTGTCGCCGACCAGCCAGCAGGGGCCCTCAGGTGGCGGGTGCTCACAGGAGGAACGGCCCTGCATGTCTGAGAGAGGTCGTGTGTGTGTGTCCTGTCAACCTCGCCGAAGCGGATGTGAAGCTTGGAGTTAGTGGAGTTGGAGCAGCCCAAGGTTGAGGAGATTTGGATCGACTGTGATGAGAAAACAGAACCAATCCGTTGGAAAGTAAGAAGAAACTGAGGAACACATCGAAAGAAACATGTGTCATATCAACCTGGAAAAGTTCGCGAAACTGCCGTTTCACGTCATTATAAACCCCAATTATAAATCCCCCCTCCCCTCAACTGCTTTTTTGGACTCACCGGTTGCTCCATCATCCCGGCGCCGTCGCTTCGTTCCACCGATGCGCCGGCCAGCAGGTGAAGAGCTTCTCTCTCCGACGTGCCGGCAGCGCCGATCCCGGAGGCGACCAGCAAACCCGGTCGACATGCGCATGCGGAACCCGTACTACTTGACAGTGTCTGGTGGACGATCGCGAGTTCCAAGGGTTGGGAGCGTTTTTGATTCCGGAAACGCGAAGAGCAACCAGTCATTCAAACAGAAGACCGTTGGTTTCATCGTTTTTTGGTTTTAGATCCATGTTAAAGCATCAAATGTGTTCAGGTTCCTGGAGGTAGGCGCCATGGCGGTCTAAAGCTCCGCTCGCGAGGAACTCCACTCAGAACCGTTCCTCGCGTCGCTCTCGCCGCTTCGCCCCCGCACCTTGGCGCGGCTGGGAGGCAACAGCCCCGAGATCGGTTTCCGCCTCACGTTGGCTCCCATCTCTGGACGCTTGGAGCCTCGGTGGGCCGTCGGTCAGGTGGTGTGGGCCTCGCTCCGTCCTCGCAGGAGTCGAGTCCGTCCAACGAGTCCGGGACGGGGATGAGTCGATCGCGTGGCAGGTCGGGTTGAGGCTGTGGAGCGAGCATTTGTTATGTTGGATCCTGATTAGTAAAAGGATCCTTATAGTGTCTGAAAAGTAATTTGGGTTTCAAACCCTTCGGAGACCTGTGAATACTAAGTCAATGACTGGCCTGCTGAGATTATTGATATACTGGTATAGGTTTCTCTAGTTCTTCTTCAAAGCCGCAGAGAACCTGAGAACCTTCTTTGTCCTCTTCTTATAGTATTGAAAGGATTGCTGAGAATATCAGATTATAAAGAACCTGAGAAAGAAAAAAGAATACTTCAATTACAAAAGGAATACTCCCAGGAACCCTGATTTTGTTTAGAGGAGGGGCAGGAGTCCCTTTTGCTATTCAGGATCCAACATTAGGGGTTTCTTCTTCCAAACCACAGTGTTTGAAGAAAAATCAGAAGACAACCAGCGCAGCTCACTGCCAACAAAAGGCTCCTGACATACCCCTACCCATTGAACTCGCCGAAAACTGCACTCGTTGAGCGGCACCAAACGGCTGCCTCCGCGAACACTGCAAGGCACGGGGGATCCACGGCTTTTGACTTCTGCAGCTACCAGCTTCATGTACACAAGGACTCTGGGCCCGACCAGCTTTTTGTGGGGTCAGACGTGAAGGTGCTTTGTGCTTTCGAGTTCCGAGAGGTCGGAGACGGAGTACCCGGTATACATGGAAAAGACCGTACAATGGATATCTTATATATATTTAATATATGAACTTATTTGTCACGAAAGGTAGCCCCTAAGGGGATACCTAGAGTTTGTCTTGCGAAGCACGTGTCGGCGCGTCCGGGTCTAATAATTGATAGTTCAATTCAACCCCCCCCACCCACCCCTTCGAATTGATTTCTCAATACAGACCCCCCCCCGGCCCCCGGGGAATTTATTTTTCAATACCGACCCCCCCCCTCTAAATTCAATTCTCTCCTGGAGAACGTCTTCGTGAGCCTCTCATGATTTCAGGATAGTTGAAACCCTCTTGAACATTCAGAAAGAGTGCATATGAAATTCTAATAACGAAAGGTATTCCCCGAGGGGATACATAGAGTTTGTTTTGTGAAGCACGTCTATTCTCTCCTGGGGAACGTCTTCGTGAGCCTCTTATGGTTTCAGGATAGTTCAAATCCTATGATGCTCCGATTCAATGCTCACCGATGATCTGAGCCATAGGGCAAGTTTGTTTTCCTAAGAATATGTTTGAACATTTCGAGAGCATATGTTTGAACATTTAGAGTGCATATGAAATTATATTTACAAAAGGTCGCCTCCGAGGGGATAAATCACCATGTCGAACATTGCATTTTTGTTCCTGCCTCTTGCGTTCTCTTCTCTTCCCGCTGTCCTACCTTTCGTGTCTCCCTCCTCTCAAGTTATGATGCTACCGGGAATCACAGGCACATTTGCTTCCACAACTACCTTGAAGCACCCCATTTCATGGTCTCTTTGTAGCACGTGTATATGCTTGGAAACCGGTGACTTGTGATCGCCTCCGGATTCCCCGCCAAGGACTCCCAGCTTCAACCGTTTGGTGCCCAACTTTGGTTCATTGAACCTGCCACTCACTGTCAAGGTGCGAAGAACGCGCTGTTCCGCGTATGGATCTTCCGCCGGGCGGGACGAACGCAGTTTCAGAGCCGGATTTGGGAGGGTTGCCGGCACATTCATGGGATGGTTTACTTCATTTCAGAATGTGTGGGATGGGGACAAGTCAGCATGTTCAAGACTTCGCACTCATGGGATGAGACAAGTCACAGCTTAATGATATCCTGGGAGTCAAAGACTACAAATGGATGGTCTGTAGGGGACCCGAAAAAGAATGTTCTCTACTTCAGTCGGTCAACATATAGTCTTTGGACTTCTAGGGGACATAGAGTACAGAGTATACAGCTTATAAAATATTGCAAATCTATCCAGACGTCACAGGAATGAGATGAAACATCAATATTACACGTGCGTTGCTTTGCAAGAGAACAAAGCAGAATGTTCCATGCATCGCGCTTCCAAGAACATCCAAACCTATATTCCTGAAGTTTGTTCTTGTTTAAACCATTTATGTTGTTGTAAGATTGAAGCTGTATTTCAGGATGTTTGTTATTTAAAGACGATGTAGTTTGCATGAAATCATTAGATGACCAGCGGATGGCCACCATATAAGGGACATTGAACAAGGCGGCTGCCTTGGAAGGCATGTTGTCCCTCGATCAGAAGATCCGATCTTGCCAGGGTCGCAACTTCCCCATGGGCATCGCCAATGCGCCTTTTGGGCGCCAGTACTGGGGGCGCGGGTTGAAGGTGGTTGCATTACAGGGCCTTGACATGTACAAACGTTTATAATTGACATGCTAATACGTACCCGGCCCCCCCCAAAAGTCTTACAACACACAATTTGGTTCACTTTCAGAGGGTTGCCCCCTTCCGTTGCCTGCCACTGTTTTCGCTCACTCGCTCCATCTCGCCTCGACAGAAGACTTCTCACTCCATCGCCGGCAGATGAACAGCTACGACTGTACCATCTGGTACCCATAGACTCCAGGTGCGAGTTCGCACATGCGAGTTCCACCCGGCTCATGCCATGTGCACGACTCGCATCTGAGGTCGCAAGTGCAGTGCTTCTGGTCTCTCACGCGAGTGGTGACAGCGGGAATCTTGCTGTCAGGCCGGATGTTTCGCTGGGTCGAGTCGGATTGATTGCACCCAAAACATGGAGTTATATAGCACCACGGATTCCGGTTGTCCATGAATAGCCCCGAAAAGGGGTCAAGGGATGTCCATTAACCACTCGGACAGGGGCTTCTGGTATAGGATGTGTTTTGTTTAGCTTTATATGGTGACTGGCATTTGAGAGGTTTTTCACGCTCGAAAAGTAAGACATCTTCACTTGCAATCACTTTGCATTCAGCTTCCGGATCACCACTTGGACGGGCTCCTTGAAAAAGGCCATCATCGCCGATTCTCTTGGTCCGACCGGGTCCAGTCCTTCACAGAAGCGCGCGCGCCGATCGATCCTCGCGCGCTCCGATCGATCCTCGCGCGCTCCGGATCTGTGCGCAAAAACCCGAGCAGTATATACGCCTGATGCCCTTTGCTCCTAGTAGCGAACATTATTACTAGTAAGGCACTTGTTCCTAGAAGCGTGGCACTTGTTACTAGCGTGGCTATCAGTACCTTTCGAGAGAGGAGACGCTGACGCCAGACCGACCGCCAGATACGGAGCTCCGGTGCTTCTCCCCCAATCAGCTGCCCATCATTCAACTGACGCCCGGCGTCTCAGCCGGAGCGACGTCGCGGGGGAGAGGGATGCGGGACACGGCAGACGGCCGCCAGCGGTGCTGACGTCAGATCTCCTTGTGGCTGGTGAACGTTGGCTGGTTTCAAAGCTGGGTTGTTGGTCCAAGACGGTGCCAAAAGAGACTCCACGTACCATTGAATCTATACACGGAACAAGCACACCGATATGTTGCCACTTAGGAGACTTGGGGTTCTTGTGTATCATTCTAAGCATTCTGCCAAACACCTCCAAATGGTTTGAGTTTGGCTTGGGAGGTGGTCCTGCGAAACGGGTTGTCGTGCGGGATTCCAGGAAGCACGGAGCAGTCAGTTGGACATACCTGGTTCCCAAATAGAATGACATCCGGTCCCCACTGCAAATGCTACAGACCTCAGATCAATCTTCATGAGATTTGTTTTCTGTCCTTGCGGTCAAAAATCAACCAAAAAATGGACTCCATGTTCGGCCCTCCAAACCCTCATCTCATCCTTTCGCTTCTTCTGCGATGTCTCAGGGGACCTTTGGGCTCAGTGGATCATCTCTCCAGCATCTCCTTTGACAATGGCAGGCACGTTTCCCACGTGAAACCCGCGCACGGCCATTGGTGATGGGTTTTTGAACATGCTTGCAATGAGCAATGCCTCAAGATGCTTACGTATATATGGGGAAGGTCTTGGGTTCACATTGAAAAGGAGCACGTTGTTTCGAGAAGAGACTTCTCAGTTGGAGGCTTGCTTTCACTTAATTTTCTTTGACTCTAGGTGTTTGCACGGGTTTCAACGAGACTGCGCATTGTTTCGCTCTCTCCTACTGCCCTTATCTTTGCTTCGGTTGGGTCTCAACTGCTGAAGACTGCAGCGCAGCTGATAAATGGCCAAGATACTATACTTCAAACTTAATTAGTGTACTGTAAGATTAAGGATCTTTTTTCAAGGATGTAAGACGATGGTGAACATGGTCCCTAGATCAGTTCAACCATCAATGTTCCACTGTTTTGTTCAGTCCTTTTTTCAGTCCTGAAGAATAAATATATCAATACCTAGTAGGCCCTCCTGGTAGTTTGGAGGCCATTGCTGTTAGGTTGGAGACCATCGCTCTTCATGGCGATGGCCTCCAAGCTAATAGCGATGGCCTACCCCACTAGCGATGACCTCCAACCTAAATGAATGGATCACGAATCGAAGCTGGCCCCAGGCTGGCCCGACTCTTTCCGCGTGGTCGGCAGGAACTTTCATCCCGTGGCTGCTGAGGGCTTGGCCTTCGCAGGGGCGCCCGGTTGGTTGGGAGGCTTTTTACACGGTTGGGAGTCTTTTGAAGACTTGACTGAGAGACTCGTGTTGTTTGGAAGGGTGGTTTCTGGTTGTTTGGGGTCCGGGACGAGGAATGTGATAATCATATATAATCATTCAATATCATTCACATGGTTCGATTGTGGACTTTGGTGCATTAGGCTTTTCAGGATTCCAGTTGTAGGAGCTCAGTGACATGTAGGGGTCAGAGTTGCAAGTTATGACTTGGAGCTGATTGATGTCATAAGATGATGCTGCACGTTTGTTTCTCACTTGTATTCTCATGATGAAGATCTTTTGACCCTCCATAACATGTTCTTACATGGGTTCGTTCCCCGTGATCCTTCCCCCTAACAATATCTAAAGATCGTGCACTGATTACCCAAGCCCCTAACACCCAAGCCCCTAACAATCCTAAGGGAAATCAAAAAGGATCGTGCGCAATCGCAATCGCCCAGACGATCCTTCATCGTGGAAGCGGTCCATTGGCGGCTTTGTTGGCACCCACCAGCGTCTTGGTCGGTCGAGGCCTGGAATCTATGTCTTGTTCGGTGGATGGGGGGCCAGAGCGGCCTGACGGCGGTATTTTTCTCCTTCGATGGGACTTGGAAAGGGGCACATGATGTCGATGCTTCTAGATTTAAAGCAAAAAGAGATTTGGGGGCAGCGTCCAGAGCCTTTTCATCGAGAGAGCTAGCAGTTCTTCTTCACTTAGCACCTGACTTCGCACCGGAAAAACAGCAGATCTAGCACCGTCGTGGCACAGACGGACCCACCCTGAGAATCCAACAAAGAATTCCCTCGGTCCGACGCTGCCAGGTGAGACGATTTCACTCTATGGTGGTGACTTCATGGCGCTGCGCCAGTCCGGGGTCCCAACGGCTGGTTGGACCCAGCAGGTTGGCAATGTCCGCCAGCGCAAAAATGCTGTGTTTTTGATGTTTTTGATGTGATTTTGAAGGCTTTTTGGGGGGTTCTGTGCATGTTGTCTTCAAAAGAGCTGCGTCTCGTATCTCTTCATTGCGCAATGTGATGTGAATCTGATACGACGTTCAGATCGTACGTCCCTTCTTTCGGAGGTTTTTCAGCAACCATTGACTCAAACCGTCGGCGAGGCTTGCACCAGCCTTTGGCTACTGCACGTTCTCCTGGTTGGACGTCCCAGAGTCGCGACGTCGCCGTTCGCGACGTCCCGCTGCTCGGTCGACGCCGACCGATGCCGAGACCGAAAAGAACAGGTCGCCTGAAGAGAATGGTGCTCTGATCCAGTTTCGTTTGACGCGGCCGGACTTTTTTCAAGATGGGTCGACCGTTATGTCTTGTTGAAACGAAAGTGCTCCACTTTCATGTTGTTTTCCTTTTGTATATATGGTGCAAGTGTAATGCAATGACGTCTATTAAATAACACATCTAATTAGTCGAGGAGTGACTGATGCCCTGTTTCACTTGCTCTTGACCGTCACAAATTCCCAGCTGAACTGGTTGATTCACAGTTGAGAAAATGAATGTTGTCAAATGAGGAATGTGACGTTCCCCTATAACCTGACCAACGACACAGGCGCGCAGTGCTGCCGTTGTTTCTGTCAGGATCTGATTGATTGAGTCAGTGTTGGAAGAAATATGAAGAAATATGAGCGGCCAATTGTTTGAGTGATCAGTTTCTTTTGCTCTGTCTCTCAGTCAGGCTGATTCTCACTGCTATTGATATATATGTGTGTTTTTTCGTGCATTTTCTGAGGGCTTCGAGGGGGGAACCCCAGTCACCGGTGGATTCGGACATGTTTCGGAAGGAACATCGACCAGTCTACCCAGCCAGAGCCAGGGTGTCATGGGGGTCACACCCATACTAAAATGCCCCACACCCATGCTACTTCAAATCAATGGGTGAAAAATCGGTCGTCCAATCGATACAGACCACCCAAGAGAAGACCCGTAATTAGACCTCCCGACCGCGCGAGATCTCTCGGTCGACCACAGGCGTCCGGACGGCCACTGCAGCGGCGAGCTTAGAGAGGAAAGATCGTTTTTGTTTGCTTGCCCAGACCCTCCATGGGACTGGCATATGTACACATTGACCCCTAAAACCATGCCATACAGGGTTGGGAAAGATAGTTTTTTGTTAGATGTTCATAGATGTTCTACTGATGTTCTATGTTTCTTTTTGGGGGTGGATCGCGTAGAGTCTGCGTGGATGCCCGAACTGCGCTGAGATGTGCCCCAGGTCTACATCTCACAGCGAGAAATCCAGTGCCAAGTGCGCCGGGCGAAATCGCAGGGTTCAGAGTTCGGAGGCGAACGTCATTCCCGTCGTTCTTCAATCCATGTGGATCGGTGCTTGTGAGAGCGTGCTCTGAGCTGCTCCGGCTAAGCACCATGTCCGGAAGCTCTTGGTATCACAGTATCACCCAGATCCATTGTAGTTTTTGTATGTTTTTGTTGGCATCAAATTTACGATTTAGTGATATGCCAAGCAACCCCCGCACTGCCTTGCCTTCCTCCATGCGTTTCCACCGTCTTGTCCCACCCCGCCTTTGCGGGCCCCGCGCATCGGGCCCTACCCGCACATCGGGCCCGCGCCGGTCTATCGAATCGAATCCGCGGAGTGAGGTACCTCTGGATTTGCCGCCGGCCACGCATGCCGTGCAGCTCTTCTTTACCCAAGGATCTTCCACCTTTGAGGCGGCATGGGCCCAAACGACTGACATGGGAGACGCCTGCCAGGCGAAAGAGGATACATCCACGAAACATGGCGGAGCATGGAGAAAGCCGAATAGTAAGCAGAATGGGCTGTAACGCCGCGCCGCCTGGAGTTCTGGACGTTGATCCCATTACGAAGGAAAGGTTGGTAAAAGATGGTAAACATGTTATCACCATAGGGAGGCCGAGGCCTAGTAACGATAGGCATTGTGATCATCCACTGTGACTGGTGGGATCATATACCCAAAGTTGGAGCGGGTTGGAGTTGGTTGAATCATGTTTCTCGTTTCGCTGGGTTTCTGAGAGGTTCCAGGGATCGGCCTTGTTCTTGGTGCGAAGACAAAGAAACAACGGGTGATCGGTGTATGCCATGTATGCCCAAAAGGAAGTAATGATGTGTGCGTTCAAGGGCTTGCAAATCATAGGCACCAGTGGGTACCACCACTGGGCATCCAGCTATCCCTACAGTCAGGCCAGGCCTCGTACGAGCGCTCCAGGCCCGCTATGGCATTCCGCCAGGGGAGCCGTGGCTGAATCTCACTGTCACTTGGCGGGTGGTGAAGTGACGGGTGAAGTTGATAGCTGCTACACATGGGCCAAGTGTCAGAGCAAACTGAGGGCAAAACTGGCACGTCGTGGATGAAAGACCCTGTTCATCCCTGTTCCTTTTTGTTCACGAAGCGCTGGCCGGCCGCGGTTCCGGTCGAGTTCCAGTGGCACCGGGCCAGACCGAAATCGACAGGGGAGGTGTGGATCGTGCCTGGTTCTGAAGCTCACACCAAGCATTTGGTCCTTGGCGTTCAGTCTTCGCCATTTGGGGCGGTGGCCGTCGACACCTTCATATCTCTTCCTCAGTTAGTAGGTCAGTTTGGACCTCATTTCACCGGAGGATGCGTTCCAAAATCACCACTCCGTCTGAGTTCTTCACCAACCCCCTGGACAGAACACCAGTCAGACTGGACCAGCTGTCTTCAAACCCTCCGCGGTTTGGAGGTAGCGCTTTGGACCTGCGAGCGTGGCTCCCAGGTCTTCCCTTCCTTTGCCATCTATGACCTGGAGCCAGCTTGGGTTGGGAGCCCAGTAAGCTGAAGACAGACATGGTCAGTCCTTGGGTGGTTCTACTTAAGCATACTTAAGCTTATGTCCAAGACGCGGCGGGGCAAACGAAAACGCCGGAGCTCGGCCCCCGGACCCCGGCTCGTCATCCGGTCTGGGTCTCGATCGAGGCTCCTCGGGGTGGCTTTTGGCAGATCTCCGTGAAGGGCAGTCGCATCTTGCCTTTGGAGGACCGATGGGTTGCGTGGGTCAGGTGATGTCAGCTTGCAATGGTGAAGCATGGGAGGAAAAGATCACGCGAAGAAGTGTTCACGAGTCGAGTTCAAACATGGTTGAAGTCGTTGGTCCTGGACTCGCCCTAAAAGGCCATGTTAGGGGACTAGGAGTGACATCGCTGCATTGAAATCCATCGGATGAAGCAGAGATCATCGATCTCAGATCGATGCCTCGGATTTTCAGAGGACCATGCACATGCACCTGTGGACAGTGTGTGGATTTGCTATATATGTTTGAAGAGTCGATCTGTTCAGAGCTAGCAGGAGAGTTACCAATGTACCTTTGGCCATGCGCCGACCACGCCTGCCGTACGAGTCTCTTTGCATGAGGCCGGCGCCGTGGGTGGGTCGGTGAGGTTAAACTCCGTCTTGAACGTACCTGTTGCAAGACATAAACCAAGAATCCATCAAAGGAAGATGCGATACTCGTGGTTGCTTTCCACCTGTTTGAAGTCCGGTTTGGCTGGACTGAGGGCGCCCCGACGTGAGTATTTCGTCTTCTAGCTGATGAATTGTTTGGGCTGACGAAGAGGCGGAAAACTGATGCACGTTCTATCCTGCACTACCCGGGATTCCACCAAAAAAGCACTACTTTGTTTCGCTATATTATAGCTTATATTCATTCATTCAAGGTAGGCAGGGTCGGTGATGAGGAATTATTTGATGTCATTCAGTTCACTCACTCCTTTTCAGCTTGAGGCTCAAGCCAAAAAGGAGTGTCGCTCCAAGTGAATCAGTGTCGCTGATTCTCAAGATATTTTTTGTGTGAGCCATGGCTGACGCAAATGCTCGACGCGCAGTTGAGCAGGAGAAGCTGAACACCTGGTGTGCCAAGGTGGGTGTTCAGAGTGCCAGCGATTTGGCCTTTTGGTTCACCTCCTACGAGGAAGCACTTCGTGAAGCTGGCCGAGCCGTGGCGGACGGGTGGGATCTCGCTCGCCGTGAGAGCGAACCGGGGATGGCAGCCCTGGTTCGGAACATTCTTGCGAGAGAGACAGTTCGTCAGTCTCGCCCGCCACAACCTTCCAGTATTCCGGCTACTTCACCGCCTTCGTCTTCGGTGGCACGTCCAAAGCCGTCTTCGTTTGCTGGGCCTGTCAAGCCAAAGAAGAAGCCAGCCCAGCTGACCGGTGCGAAAGGCGGAGTCGCTGCCTTGTTTATTCGAGATTTGTTGGGCATCATGGTGACGCTGATGCCACCTCCACCGGCCCGACACGAGGAGTACATGGCAAATTGGTCCTCCCGCTTGGAGAAGCTCTGCGCTCGCACTGAGGCTGCCACCATCAAGCGCGTGGTCCACACTTGGAAGGACTTGGTGCGCTATATGGATCATTTGGGCTTGAAGTCCGTAACCTTCGTGTACCACTGGATTTGAGTGAAGCCTCCAAGCCCGCTCCGGTCCGGAGCACCCGGCTGGGACAGGGGCAGTCCCAGGCGGCCCCTCTTGAGCCCGGCATGGTGACTCATCTGTTGGGGGTATTGGAGTACACCGCCGAGCACGCTCCTGGCAGAGGTATGCACCAGGGGTGCACGCAGCGTGGGCTGCTGTGACAGGGTCACATTAACCAAAGCACTTTTGAACCAAGACTTTCAAGCTTGTGTGAAAAAGAATTTGGTCCGAGTCTGACTCGTTACATGTCAAGTCAGGTGTAACTGATGCAGCCGAATATATTCATTCATTCAAGGTAGGCAGGGTCGGTGATGAGGAATTATTTGATGTCATTCAGTTCACTCACTCCTTTTCAGCTTGAGGCTCAAGCCAAAAAGGAGTGTCGCTCCAAGTGAATCAGTGTCGCTGATTCTCAAGATATTTTTTGTCCCACCCACCACACCCTGTGCTCGGTACGAGTGGTTACAGGCGCTTGTGGCAGCTGTCGGCATGAATATCCACGTTTGCAGTGCATCTGAGTGGTACCTTTGGCCTGTGTGATGTCGTCCACGGCGTGGCCTTGAGTGTGGCAGCAGTCTGCGGGTGTCCACGGGTTACTGTATTTTGATGATCCAGCGTCCATTTTGATTCAGTTTGGCATTATGTCAACCAGTTCGCTTAAACTTCGTGGCTTCCAGTGGTCGCTGCCAGCCGAGTACCACGGAGGAGGTCCGTAGCTCTTTCCAGTACGATGTGATCGACCATCACCCTGGCGCAGTCTGCCGAAGGCCACATGACTTGCAGCTGTCGGCTTGGCCAAATGCTCTGGCAATGAGCCAATGGACTGGTGCTGTCTGCGGGATGCCACGGTGTCCATTTTCCTTTTAACGTTACCAAATTGATCGGTTTCAATGGCTGCTGTCGGCAAGAGGCCATAGCATTTGCAGCTGTCGGCTTGGCTAAATACTCTAGTCATGAGTCCAGATACCATTTTCCTCAGTGACATTGCTGGGCAATTGTAGGTCACTGTGTTGGCAGTACAAGAGTGGGGACTCTTGGGGTACTGGACACCTTTCTTATGTCTTTTCCACTCCAATATACTCATAGGACTGACATTCAGTATCCTGTTGACTATTTTAAGGAGTCTACCAGGTACCGGTAGGGAACGAATACCTGGCAGAGGTATGCACCAGGGGTGCACGCAGCGTGGGCTGCTGTGACAGGGTCACATTAACCAAAGCACTTTTGAACCAAGACTTTCAAGCTTGTGTGAAAAAGAATTTGGTCCGAGTCTGACTCCTTACATGTCAAGTCAAGTGTAACTGATGCAGCCGAATATAAGTATATATACAGCCAAAGTATCCAACTCTCAGATGGTGTAGGGACTCCGATCTCAAACTCTCCCATTCTGAAGATATTGTGCTCTCGGCTGTTGGAGACGTCATGTTTGGACCAGCCGGTCCGGCTGACTGGTTTTCGGGAGTGCTATTCATACCGACGTCAGGTTCGACGATAGGTACCACATAACGTCGGTTTCGGTTTCATCCGGTGACCCTGTTTCAATCAGAAGTCTGGGATATCAAAGTGTGTGGAAGTGGGTCCCTCCGGAAGTCCCTCCGGACTGCTCTTTTGGTCCGGTCCACTTGAGAGTGGGTCAGGACGAAAGACCTAGGACCGGACCGCCGCTTCGATCGCCGCTGGCAGTTCTTCACCACTTCGATCCACGAAACTGCCAGCGATTCGGGTTTTGCTTGAAGAAACCGATCGCCGCTCTCGATCGCCCGATGAAGACACACCTGTAGCTGTCTCAGCGGTCTCAGCCAACAACTGCCTTAGACCGAACGACGAACCGCAGTGGGATGGCGCGCAGCCGCTCCCCGAAAGAACGGAAGAACGGTTCCGGCGCTTCCCAAGCTGCGGAGTGCAGTGGCATGAGCTTGGAGGCGGGGACGGTGTTGGGAGGAGTTCGAAGAGGGTGCAGTGCATCGCTGGTGGTGGATTGGTTGTTTCAGGGAGGTCTCTTTCTTGCTGGTTTGGGAATCGTTTGCTTCATTTGAGGCTGGGGTTCCTTCTGGTCTGGGAAGCAACCTTCAAGCTCAAAGAATGAAAAGCCGAAGGATTGCGTCGTTGTTACATAACATTTCTTGTATCGGAGTGTCCATAATCCACCTGTCAGAAGGTCCTAGCAGAGTGTTTCGATGCTTATCACAACTCTTGGGTGGCTGAACACGTTTGGAACCATCTCCAGCTGGCGAGGTCGTCCATGTGACCAAGATCTAGAGATCATAAGAGCGAAGTGGAGCGAGGTGTTGCGAGAAATTCAACACCATCGTCTATATCCATTATATCCCAGACGCTCCATGTATGGAATATATGCCTGGGGTGCGGCATATATGGCAGTCCCACGGAGTGTTTGGGTATCAACAACAAATCAACTTCAGACATGCAACGACACACAGATCCCTCTCGGCCAATATGATGTATATCCAAACATCCAACAGCCATAAAGCATGGACCGACCTTCGATTTCTACTAGGGGCTCCTGGCATCGCTACTAGTAACAAGAAGCTACTATGCCTTCACATGTCCTGGATGGGCGCATCTTCATTCTTCATCCTCAGGGCCGCCGGGCGCTGGTCACTGGGGGCTCCAAGGGCATCGGCCGCGCCACGGCGGAGCTGTTGCTGAAGCTGGGAGCCGAGGACAGGGAATGGTTCTTCCATTTGTGGGTTTGTCGGGGTCCAACTGAGGTTGTTTGAGGCCTTGACAGGTTCACTTGAGGCCTCTTAAATGGGTCGGAAGGGTTTTGAACCATGCTTGGGGGGGTGAAAGAAAAGGCTATGCAGGGCCATTTGGCCCTCCATACAAGGGTTCAATGATGCTCAGGGTATGAGGGATTGACAAATCGCTTTTGATCGTTGAAGTGTTTCGAAGGAGGCCGATAGTGGAGAGATGTCGACAGCTGCTCCGGGTTTGTTGGTTTTTCAAGCTCCACAGGTCCAGTTTTCGGACAGACTTGGCTCCTGCATGTCACGCCTGCATGTGGCAGAAACCGACACGGCCTGCGCTGCCCCGCCACACGGCCGCCCTGGCAGGTGGCGATTTGCGCGCGGGGCGATTCTGAGCTTCAAGCGGTACGAACGTCGAGCGGTGCGGCCGAGCGCTGTCATGCCATCGTGGCAGATCTGTCGACCGAAGAGGGCGTCAAGGAACTGTCGAAGGGGCCATGCACGGGGCGTTGGTGTGTGGAGGCGACGTGATGTGGCGGTTTGGGTGAGAGGAAGTTCGCACACCAAAACAATGTAAAGCTGTAGAACAACGTACACCTTGCCCTTGCTGGGCTCTTGTGCAAAGATTTCCATCCATCACCATTCCGGGTTCTCTTCATGTTCTGACTCAAACCGCTTGCTTCCAGTTTTGCCGCTTGCTTCCATCTTCGCTTCCAGGACTTGATGGCCAAGCTGCCCTGGAAAGAACTGGACATCTTGGTGAACAACTGTGGCACCAACATTCGCAAACGAGCGGAGGAGTGGTCCCCACGTCCAGAGACACCGTACCCGTCTTCGGACCGGATTTCCGCTCCGTCGGTCCGGATCAGTTTGGGTGCATTTCTGGAAGTGACCTGGGCTCCCTAAACAGTTTACTGTTGAAGTTTCTATCATTATAGAAAAAAAGAGCTGGCCACACTGACTGGCCGCGCCCCTGGACTCTGTGGCCGGGCTTTGTGGCCACGCTTTGTGTTTGGGTTTTGTCCTCCTGTTGTCCTTCTCCTGCTGTTGTCCTTTTTTGTCCTCCTCTTGTCCTTCTCTTGTCCTCCTCTTGTCCTCACTGACCAGCCCTGGACACACTGACTGGCCGCGCCCCTGAACTCTGTGGCCGGGCTCTGTGACCGGGTTTTGTCCTCCTCTTGTCTTCTCTTGTCCTGCTCTTCTCTTGTATTCTCTTGTGGCCGAACAATTAGCGATGTCGATGCCGACAAGAATCATTGATTTAGCGATTTGCTCTGGGGGAAGGTAGGGCTCGTTTTTGACTAAATATTGGTCCCAACGAATCGTTTTGAAGCTGCTTCGGGTCTATGCTGGTATTTTTTTAATCCAACCCTGACTGAGTCTGACTGCTGCGTGAAGAAAGGACGAAGGTCGCACAATGCTGAAGATGTTTGTTGATTGTCATTTTTTCTTTCACCCTCAAGATATTTCACAAAAAGATCGCTGTATCAGGACTCCAATAGGAGTCTCATGTCACTCATGTGTTTTTGGCTCAACAAATACTTGTTGAGGACTTCGAGCCGGAGGAGTTTCGAAAAATCTTTGATACCAACTTCATGTCCTCCATGTGGCTCTCAAGAGCCGCCTTACCTTTACTGAAGTCGGCTGCGGAGAAGGGCAAGCCAGGTGGTGCAGCCGTGGTGAATATCAGCTCCGTGGCCGGGCGGACGCATATCCCTTCCGGCTTTCCGTATGCAGCACGGAAGCAGAGAGGAAGAGAATGGCCCAAGAACCGAACCTATGGAGGGGTGTGGGGTCGAAACAATGAATCCCTAGGCTTTGCGGGATCAAGACCAAGGGGTTGCTTGGAGGGTTTGGGCAGCCTTTTTTGGGGGGGAGGACATCATTCAGATGACGTGAGGAAACCGTACCCTTGAGCTCATTGATTTGGCTGGACGTCCGAGAGGAACTTGGATTGAATGTTTGTTGCGCATGCTCAACACATCTTAACACACTTGTGTTGGGACATTATTAAACGCTTCATCCAAAATGTCCCTGCGCATGTGAGCGATCACTTTCTCGCCAAGACAGAAAGCACACTGGGCATACAAGATTATGCCAAGCCTGGGCGCCATCGGCGAAAATGACCCAGTTTGGGCAGACCAACTTTGGCAACAAAGAAGTGAAATTGGTGTTGTTTCACCAAACTGCAGGACAGATACATTATGCAACCACTGGAAGGTCCAGCCGCAGTCCTCCAATTGGGGTTCTTCCGGAATTCGTTGTGAAACTAAGGCGGCATCCAAAGCCGCGATGGATCAAATGACCCGGACGCCAGTTCGAGTGCTGAGCAGCTACTTTTTCTTTTTTGCAGAAGTCCCTCACAAATCCAAAAGGAATCCACTCCTTCTGTTCCATATAGTCAGCCTCAGGAATTTGGCGGTGGAATGGGCCCGCTTCGGCATCCGCGTCAATGCCGTGGCGCCCGGAGTGATTGAGACGCCCTTGATCAAGACAGCGAGTCCCATTTACGTCGCCGACTTTAAGGAACGGAAACCGCTCAGTCGTATGGGTGACTTGGATGGGAGTTCGGGCCGGACAGGTCGAATGGACAGGGGGGGTGGGAATTCGATCGGACGGATTTTTGGGGGGTTTTTGTTTGGAGAGTTTGGGGCTGTGCATTTGTTTCAGACCGAGAGGAGTGTTCGGCAATGATGAAGTTCTGGTGGGAGCGTGGAGAGGTGGCAGGGACCCGAATGAGAAGGGGAAGACTTGCATTTCAATGGCTTGTTTACTGGTGTAGAAGCCTCTTGATGTTATTTTTGGACATCCGTTTTGATTGACTGTGCTACCTAACTGTCTCGGGAATTCCTTGTTTTGGGGCTCTTCAAAGTGCAAGCAATCTCAGTTGATGCTTGGGAGTTTGTCCAAAGGGTTCATCAGCTGTGACTTAGTAAGCCCTGCCCTAATTGCTGAGTGTAAGTTGACCATGAATTCTGGCTGAAGCTTGTCGCACTAGGCATAACCAGGTCGGTCCTGAGTCAGCCGCGAGCACTTGGCCAGGGAGTGTCCAGAAACTGACCAGGTCAGTGACTGACCAGGTCAGTGAAACACCCCGGAGAGGTGTCCTCGGGGCCTCTCGTTTCGTGCATCAAAACTCCATGGAACATCATGGAACAACTGGTAAATCGATAGCATGACCATTTACCATCACCATCATGACCATCCCCATTGCCGCCACCACCACCACTACCACCAATACCATTCGCCATTCGCATTAATTACTCCTATACCAGAACCATTGCGTCATCATGGCCAGGGACACATGAAATCACCTTTTTCCCAACCATTTGCACGTCCAAAAACGTTAGTTTGGATCTGCCAAGACCCCGTAGAAGAAGGAAAATAGACCCGGACTAGGAGACAATGATAGAGTCAATTGTAAACAGCTTGTTTGACCCGAGGTCAAGTGAACGAGATTGCTCGGCCCATCGCCTTCTTAGCTTCGGAGAGTGCGAGCTTCATCACTGGGCAGATCTTAGTCGTAGATGGTGGCTTCACAGCCACCTGCTTCAATAAGGTCCCCAGCTATTGGGAAGACCAGTAGCTGACATGCCAGACACAGAATTTGATCAGTGCGGTGACCTGGTGACACGAATCTTTACCACCAGGCTCCTCACACCCCCCAAAAGGTTTTAGAGACCTGGATGGCAGATGGCCAACCAATACTTTTGCTTCAATATCCCCACAGAAAGATGGGAAAAAAAAAGCGATTTCTACGCGGATGGATCGCGATGAATTCTCTGCTTCAGCCCGATCGCCGTCGACGGGCGTGAAAAAACGTCGCACGGCAGCGGGCGACCTGGCACAAAGAAAAAGGGGCGACTCCGTCGCGAACAATGCGGTGCACCCAAAGACTCAGCATTCAACAGACCATGCATGGGACTGGAAGGTCTTCCTAATTGACTATCAGATTCAACATCACCCCTTAATGTTGGCAAATATGGCATATACTTGGATTGTTAGGGATTGGGGCCACGGACAAGCATGGTGATAGAAGATGTCAAATGATTTCAATCGGTTGGAGACCAAGTTGAGTTTGTGAATTTCACAAACCAGTGGAGCTGGTAGTTGGGCACTCTGAAGTATCCTGAATTTCTCAACTGAAAGCTGGCCTAGGATGAACAGGCACAGTCATATCGTCCAGACGGTCAACCGATCGATTGCTGTTTGCGTATACTATACGCACCCACAAACGGTCAAAAGGGGTCCAGTTTAAAGGGATCAAATGACTTGGAACGTCACTGTGACACGTGTGCAACGTCATTGCAGGTCTTGTGCCAATCAGCCGGGCTGCCAGGATGTGCCAGCGGTGCCAGGTTGCGAGGGCTCCATTGTTGGAGTGCATTTTTGTGCCTTCCTCTATCTCCCCAAACTCTGCCCTGTCTCCAGCATGACCATGACCCCCTTATAGAGGACAATGAGATAGAATGAGTCTTCCAGGGCATTCCTGACTTTTGTGGTTTCAATCAAGTCTCTACTTTGAGCCACACTGAGATCCCACGGTGTTCTGGGGTTTTCTGATTTGTATCCTGCAGAGTCTGTTGACACAAGCAACACGTATTGGACACGTATATTTCCAGGAATACAAATTTCATGGGTGTCAGTAATTAAAGAGACCTGAAATGTTCATAAATGATCCAAATATATCTATATATATATATAAATGATTCCAAATGGGAATTTGGAAGTTTAGTGTTTCGACCCCGTGGTTTAAATTCGTGTGTCTCGGGGTATAGGGTTTAGGGCTTCCAAGTCTGATATTGAACACATGCAGATAGAAATGCTGGAAATAGAGACCATGAGTCCCACGCTTTAAGGCGCTACATGAAGCCAGCCAAGTGCCTTTGCAGCTCTCCTGGCCGTCAAATGCCAGGTTCGTCCACAAGGGGAATATGTTCAAGACATTTCAGCTGTGCTTACAAAGTGGGTTGCTCACTCATCTGACACGTGATTCACATGTGATCCATGCTTTCAGCTCGAAGCTTCCCGAGTCCATCTCCGTGAAGATAGAAGCACAACCTGACTGTGTGAATGTTATAAAATGTGACTCCCAGGGTGAAGAGGCAATGGAGCCAGAAGGCCTTTGAGTTTCTGCGAACGCCCGCAGTGCATTGGGCCGGGACGGCTCAGCTTCCCCCCACGTCGTGCGGTGAGTGTTGAAGTGGCATATACTGGGTACCTGTGTTAAGTTGTTTGGTCTTGTAGAAAGTCTGCCAGAAGACCCCAGAACCTTAAAAAATGACAGTTCTCAAAATCAACGATGTTTGTTGAGGAAAAACGGTTTTCTTGATTTTGTGCATTTTGAGGGCATGGTGTCTGAAGTACATGGCCAGGCAAACGCACACATCATCCCCTTTTTATTCCTCTCAACTTTGCTATGCATATCTTGATGTACCCGCCTTCCTCCAAACACGGGAGCTTGTCATTATAGACATCTTAGACATGGCACCAAGCAAAGCTACTTCAAAGTCCTGCGATCCTTTCTGATTTCTGAAGGAGCGATGCCAGGTTTCAGATGAACACATGTGCCGAAAGAATCAACAACTGTGTGTTTGTGGTCTGAAAGCAGTCTACAAAAGCATTTGTCTTGTTCTTTCACCCCTAGAAACTGAAGTGCTTCAAGATCAATCCGAATTGGCACGTTGCCGGCATCACATGGGAGTGATCAATTCTCCTCATGGACACCTTCAAATGGCATCAAATGGCATACTCCGGAACCCATATTTTTTACGGCTTCCCTACTAGCTACGACGGGTTTTTTACGGGTTCCCCACGGGTTAGGAAGAACGCGTTTTTTTGAAGAACCGGTTTCTCCAGTCTGACCCACGGGTATAGACGGGTTCCCCACGGGAACCTGAAAATTTGGATGGTTTGAGGGGCTTTTGTCATTAAAGTCCGTTCGACAACCACCGGAAAACACAAGATGTTTGGAGACCTGTTTTTCTGAGAGTGTACTTTTAAGACATCGAGACCCAAATCACACGCTGAAGGGCACAATCTGGGCTTTGTGTTCGCATGGGCACCAACCAATGACTCAACACGGATTTACTACCCTACCCCCTCATTCTTTACAAGTGGTCCATACGCGGGCACTGCTCAAAAGGACATGTTCAACAACAAGACTCAAGTTCAGGAGGGTTTGGGGGTGACACCGGCCCATGCTGGTGGTATATTATAATTTATAGTCCATGAGCCAAGTAAGTCTGAGCTCAAAAATCGACCAAAAACGACATAAGCCATGGCAAGCCATTCTTCTTCACGAATAAGCTTCCATTTGGAGGCGTTTCCTGGAAAAAACAGTCTTTTTTCTTTTTCCCAGGATAAACGATTTTTACTGCCAATGCCACTGGAGAAGCGTTTTTTCGCTCCAGACATGACAAATAAGTAGTGTTTCAGGTCTATAGGTGGATGCTGCGTTTACAATGAGGTTAGATGCAAGATGGCAATATAACTGGAAGAGTGTCAGGTCAACAACATTGTTTGGATGCTGCGTTTACATGCGGTTTGTACCGGAAAGAGAACTGAGCCATGCTGTAAACCTCTCGTATTACATGTTGGGTTGGTCTTCCGAGCTTGGTGAGTCATGGAGGGGGAGGGCGCAAGATAGGCTTGGCTCATGAAGGGTCGGAAACATCATGTTGGCTCCAGTGGTACCTTCGAAGGAATGACTGGACCCTCCAAACCTACCCCAAACACCTTCTCAGACGGTTCTTGGAGCAGTATCGGGGCGTCAATTTCAGTTGATGTAAACTGCCTACCTGGTAGGCTGATCCCACTTTGGACAGTACAAAGCCCCCAAACCAAAGGGTAAACACTTGAATGTACTTGGCGCCTTTAGATCCACCTTGTGTGTTGTTCCGGCAAACCCGCGACAAATGGCGAACATCCATGTTCACCAAGAAACCTCCACTTACTTGTGCCTGAAGCTACCACGCTCTGGGCATATAGCCATATAGCTGTTTTAATTTCCGTGGTTGGGAAACACCCGTCTGTCCCTCCTCCCGTGGTCAGTGCGTCCGCACACTTTGAGGTTCGACCAGCCATACTCTACGCACACCAGACAGGTGCGGACTAAGGGCTCCTCCGCATCTTTCACGATCCTGGAACATCAGATCGAATCACTAAGGATTGGTGCATTTTGTGTATAGGAACTGCACGTTTTTGCATATAGAAACCTCTCTTGTTGGAGGACGGTTTAGAGCGGCCCAGGACTTGTGAAAACACAGCCAATTGGGTCAAGAGCCGATTAGGCCAGCGCCTCCAAGTGGGTGGCGAGCGTTTTGGAGCCTTCCGAGAGGTGAGTGGCGAGCGTTTTGGGCGCATGGTGGCTGGGTAGGTTTGGTGGGTTCTGTGGTTGGTAGTCTATTCATGGATAGAAAACAGATTTAAAAACAATGCGGGGACTTTCGATGGGTGGCTACAGTGAAGGCACAGGTGGATGAGGATAGAGGGTCCTCCGTCGAGATCAAAGGAAGCGCGCCGATGCAGGAGACACGGGGAGACATGGCAACTTAAGTTTGGTTTATATACGAAAGCCGATAGGTTAGGCTGAAGGTATTTAAGCGAACAATGTGATAAATTGGGGGGGGGGGGGGGGTGAATTGTTGAGTTGTTGATCTCTATTTTTCTGAGTTTGTGATGCAACAGCGATGCAATATGAAAATGGTGTCGGAATCACTTGCATCACTTGCATGCATCGTATTGCTTTACATGTTCCAATCGGTTGATGAATGGAAGGGGCCCACGACTAGGCATTTCAACCAGAAAACCCAGTGACTTTGCCTTTCAACGCTGGCATTTTTGGAGTTCCAGACTCCAGACCTCACAAACATGTTGGCGCCCGTGACTGTTGCCCGTTACGTGTCAGGACTCCTTGTGGTGTCGCTTTGGAGGTGAAAGCGTGGGAGGCGCCTGGAAGCCTTGTTTTTTTGAGCCTTTGTTGATCCTTTTTTGGCGTGAATGAACTACTCCAAAGGAACTAAGTCTGAAAGTAGTTTGCAGACATGCGAATCTCATTTCTTGCAAGACGTTTGCTCAGGCTGACGACTTCATGTTTTTGATTCAAGAGCCAAGCGAACTGTGCTGTTCAGCTGGTCCGTTCCACCGTTGGGCCAGGCACAGGTGCTCAATTGACACAAGCGAGGATCACGAGGAGCCGAGACGATATAGCATGAGTCATGACCGTCGTCATGACCCCATTTATGTTACTTTAGTAATTGTTAAATTTCCCTATGGAGAATGACCTGCCCTTTTGGGAGATAGTTTTACGTTCTATTTTTTGCACTGGTTTCTTAGCAAATCTAAGTTGACATGTCCTTTAGCGAGGCCAAATAACGTAGGAAACCCAGTATGTGTTCTTTGTGTTTGGATCTTGCTTTATTTGCTTCGTTGAGCCGCGCACACACTGCATGGTTTTTTGGTACAGTTGGCATAGGCCCAGCTCCCTTCTCCCCGTTGGATGTTGAGAGCCTCTCAGAGTCGATAGGCCAAGCCTGTTGGGGCAATGGTTTACCGCCCTCCAAACAGTGAGAATTGCATTGGTAT